TCTCAAGACTTGGGACACTTCTCAAGAATTGGGACAAGTGACTTCTCAAGACTTGGGACAAGTGACTTTTCAAGTCTTGATCCGATCTTCAACAGATCATGTTAGCTAGTGTCTTTACTTCCAAGCACGTTCTCTGCTAGTCCGGGACTCTGTCGCACACAGACACTGCACGACACGGTCTCTGCATCACCCGTTCACTGCCGGACGCAGCCTCTAACTCACCAGAACATGTCTCTGCTAGTCTCCGTCCAGCCACATCTCGTCTGTTCTAGACTCGGACTCCGTCTCACACAGACTCTGCAAGACACGGTCTCTGCATCACCCGCTCTCTGCTGGATGCAGTATCTCTATCACCCGTCCTCTTCCGGTCTTGATCCTTGAAGGCGATACGTCAGAGGCGGTAATACACAGATAGGATCGTGCAGAGACCGATTCCAGTAGAGACTTCATCCTTCCGAGGGAGTGTGTGTCAAGAGTCCGTGTGCGGCAGACACCGATTCTGGCAGATAACGGGTGGGGAGAATTTTGAAAAAAATTCGAATTTTCTAGAATTTTCAAAAAATCAAAAAATGCTGGAAAATGTCCAAAAGGCGCACGAAACAAACAATTTTTTAAAATTTCACATTCAAAATTTTTTCAATTTTGTTTTGGTTTTGTGCGCTTTTTAGACAATTTCCAGCATTTTTAGATTTTTTATATAAAAATTTGTGATTAGTTGTTGTCTTCAAAAAATGACGTCATCAACAATGTGAACACATATTTGTTTACTCGGCATTATTGTGTTGGTATAACAACACAATAATGCCGAGTAAACAAATAACGTAATAAATAAACAACTACCCAGCCAGTCGCATTATTACTGCTCCAGAAGCAGCACATCGCCTCCGAACAGCGACATAGAACTATTTAAGAAATGAAGAAATGTGAAAGAAGACGTTATCAAGTATTTGAAAAGTTATCAACTACTTGAAGTACCAACTCAACCAAGGTAAACTGATACTCATTCGATATATTACGATTACGAAAACTGACTTTATGATCAATTTTAAGACGAAGATTTGCAACGGTGGGGCTGGACGTAATAAGTTGACTGAACAAGAACTGTTGGCGTTTCAAACACTTGACCAACCCCCTCGAAGGGGGGTTGGTCAAGTGTTTTAACCCCCATTTGGGGGGTATTTTAGTTTCTTACTCAAGGGTTAAAACACTTGAATGAGACACTAAAATTTTAAAACGCAACCAACCCCCCCCCCCCGAAGGGGGGGTTGGTCAAATGTTTTAACCCCCATTCGGGGGGGAGTTTAGTTTCTTACGCAAGGGTTAAAACACTTGAATGAGACACTAAACTAACCCCCCCCGAAGGTTGGTTGGTCAATTGTTTTAAGCCTCCATTCGTGGGGTTAGTTTAGTTTCTTACACAAGGTTGGTTGCTTTTTAAAAAATTGACCAACCCACCCGAGGAGCTCCGAAAGGAGCGTTCTGCTCTAGTTTTGAAAAATTTGAACATTTTTCTAAATTCTCCCAAAGAGATGACTGCCGAACTCGGTGAATGCCTCACAGAGACCGGATCTGGTGGGAAGAACTTTCGAAAGATTTGAAAATTTTCAAAAAATCAAAAAATGCTGCAAATTGTCCAAAAGGTACACAAAACAAATAAATTTTGAAAATATTCACATTCAAAAAAAATTTCCAATAGTTCAAAAAATTTTGTTTTTGTGCGCTTTTTAGATAATTTCCAGGGTTTTTGACTTTTAGAAAATTTTTCAAAAAATCGAAAAATGTAGGAAAATGTCCAAAACGCGCATAAAAGTAAGAAAATTTGAAAAACTCCGCTTCCAAAATGTTTTCGAAAAATGTTTGTTTTGTGCGCCGTTCAGACATTTTGCAGCATTTTTTATTTTTCTAAAATTTCTTTCAAAATTTTCGCCACCCAATGCCTATCACATCTCTTCCCTATCAGACACGGTCTCTGCAACAAAAGCTGTCTACTAGACTGTCTCTGCCTTTACCCGTCTGCCAATATCGGTCTGTAACACACGCGCCTCTGCTAGACACAGCTTCACCAGTTCTCTGCTCGACCCGTTCTGTACCTCACTGGCTCTATGATTCACTCGGACAGTGCTTCACACTGTCCCTGCTTGTCTTGCTCTCTGCCTCACAGGGTCTCTGCTTGACTGGAACAGTGCTACACCCGGTGTCTGAATCACACGGTCTATGCTGGACTCGGTCTGTGCATCGCACGCACCGTGCCGTAACAGGTCTTTGCAGAGACTGCCTGGCAGAGATCGTATCTTAGAGAGAATGGTCAGAGACAGGGTGCAAAATAGACCAGGCCATGCAAACACCGGATCTTGCAGTGATACTGTGGGGAGGATTTAGAATGTATTCAAATTTTTTTCAAAAAATCAAAAATGTACGAAAATGTCCAAAAAGCACACAAAACTAAAATTTCGAAATATTAAAAAAATGTTTGGAAAATTGGTAAAATTTTCAAAATTTTAAAGATTTTCGAATTTTGAGTCGTACCACCAGACATCCGGACCAGCCGACACGGGGTCCGGCAGAAACGGCGTCCGGTAGATACCATGCCCGGCAGAAACGAGGGCCGGAAGAGACTGGTCTCTGCCGGACACAGTCTCAGCCGGACCAGGATTCTGCTTGAATGATTTTTAAAATTTGAGAAAAATGTTCAAAATTTTTAACCGTTTTAAAAACTTTCAAATGCTGCTGAATGCACCACAAAGCGAAAAAATGAAGAATTTTGGAAATTGTATAAAACTTTTGAAAAGTTGATATTTTTCAGAAATTTTAATTTTTCCGGGCTTTTGAGCATTTTCCAACATTTTTGCAGTGTCAGTTGTTGTAACATTTCTCTTCATTATATATTTCATATAGACATTCCTCCAACTACATTTCTTGAATGCTGAATAAAAGGCACATCATGGACAACATTTTTATGACAGATGATCTGTAAAATTATTCCAAAGCCTATGAACCAATCAACAGGAACGTGGGAAATTTATGTCTGCAGAAGTGTATACACTGGAAATCATTTGTTAAAGTAGAAGTCCTAAGATTCCACAGTCTTCGTTATCTCACTTTAGTGACCCAGGAATTGCTGACAAATCCCTGTCAATCCTCTTGTATTTGTTCTTTGGGCCACTCTTTCTTGACAGGCAATGCAGAAATCGTTTCAACCACTTTGTATCTGCAACACATGCCTACAAACAGCAAACAAATTCTTGTTGTGAATGAAACTTCAATTATATATACATAATTGTAATTTTTAGTAAATAATTTGTTCTTGAAGGAATTCATGACACCTACTTCACTTTATAAGCTTCAACACACATGAGGCTTGCAAAAAATATAAATGAATAATTACATAATTTGGTGATCCAATTTTGTGTACAGATCCACAGTACAGATTTTATTATATCTGCCCAGTATTATGACATCAAAGTTCACACCATCAAGAATTTTTATTACATTTATTAATTTGTATGCACATTCATAACTTGTATCCATACAATGTTTCACATTCCCAGTTCCAATTGTTCATTCACTATCTCCATCAAACAGAACTAAACATAGAATTAGTGTTGCTGTCATTTTATTTTACATTATAAAAGAATTATCTCATACTTTTTTAAATATCTGTTACAACATAATATTTCAAAATGCAATGTCAGCATGCTAGTACTGGCACTCACATTTATTCCACCTCAAAAGTTCTTGTGGTGGCCACATGAATATTATTTATACTATGAAATCAAAAAATTATAATGGCAAGATGTTCAAGTTTCATAAAAATATGTGAGGCGGTTCAATAATTATTGGAGGGCAAGACACACAGACGAGCACATGGACACATGAAACCACATGACTGAAAATGCAAAACAATAACAAATCCACAGCAGAGATAGAATCACAACTCAAGAATAAGATTTTTAAATATAAGAAAACAGTGAAAATCTCAGTGCCTGGAATAAAATACAGGGACTCTCAAACATGTAACAGGAATGATAGCCACAGCCTAACAGCATTTAATAATAAAGGGAAAATGACATGAACTAAACTATTATGCCATGAAGAAAAGAATAACATAATACTATGATTGTGTGCCAAGATGGCAAATTTTTTCCCATTGATTTATCCTGAATATTTCTTCTAATGTGTTAGTGGTACTGAAAAATATAAATTTACCTGTTGTTCTGTATTGTGAAACTTCATCTCTCACAGATCAACACATGTGCAGGTGTTACAAAACAGGATTCTGAGAATATTCAGACATCAAAGAAAGGAAATAACACAAGGAAATAGCAAGATGAGAGCTTCACAATTTGCAGAACTAGCCCCAAAGGTGGAAGCAGCGTGTTTCTCCAAAAAGCTCATACCCCCCAAGTCTACACGGCATCATAACCCAGAAGAGCAACACTGTCATCTTTATTGCTGGGAGAATATTTAATCTCATACAATGTACAGTAGGGCACCGCTTATACGGCGGGGTAGGGGCCAGACCCCCTAGTAAGTGCACAATAGCGCTAGGCCTAAGAAAATGATATGAAAGTTAAATGAATATCAGTAATACACACATTGTCCTCAGCTTATAGTGATTGGTGAATATAAATTTGAAAATTGATATGCTTATAGTAGGAAGGATGAAGGAGATGGCGCATCTTCATCATGTGACTCTTCAACGAATCCTATTCGTTTTGGTGATGGTTCGGAAGCCATAGACATGCCTTGTTCACGAAGTTTAATCATCTCTAACTTGGCATTTAAAGTAAGAGGCTTACGACTCCTCTTTTTATCGCTACTACCCTTAGACGCCATTGTAATTACACTGTAGTAACACAAAAATATTATATAAATATACAGTTTGTAATAACTGAAAAATTGCCAGAAATACAGAGAGACGCGGAGCGCACAAAAGCTGTAAACAGACTGAATCAGCGACGAGAAAATGGCGCCGGACGCACTTCTCTGACTCAGCTGTTGAGCGCCGTATTAGCGGATCGCCATAAAGCGGAGCGCCGAAAAGCGGGGCCCTACTGTATGAATTTTACTTGAGATACTGTACACGATCACAGTTAAGCATGCATCCTATAAGGAAAACTGACTTTTCAACATCTATGTTCTTCTTTACAACTAACTCCATCATACAGGACCATTCTTGAAAAGTTTACTGTCGATCAGCTAATCAATAAATCCTTTTTCACTTTATGGATCATAGAGATTCATTATCATGTTTATGAAAGCCCACCACTAAATCCAATCAGAAGCAGTCAAATCCAGTCCATAAACTCACAGCCTATTTCTATAAGATCCATTTAAATAGTATTCTTCCACCTACATCTAGGTTTCCTAGGTTTCCTTTTGGGCTTTCCAAATACCATTTTGTATACCCTTCTCGATTTCACAATTTAATCACCCAGGAAATATTAGGTGAAGACCATGTACCTGTGCTCTTAACAAAAACAGTATTTTCTCACCTCTATGAATACAGAAGCTAAAAGATGAACACTTGGGAATGCAAGAAGCCACAGTCTGAAGATGACATGGTGATTGTTCTTTGACATGGGCATCAGTTCAAAGAATTCTGCTACTGGTCCCACAGGATAAATCAGAAGCAGAGTGGTGAATGTAGTGAACAGGACCAGAGTGAACAGGAACAGAACTGATTATGAAAAGAAGAGAACACAAATAAATCATGTAACAACAACTAGAAAGACAGGTGATGTGGCACAACTGCTATTAATTTTAACACATTCACTGCTGCCTGATGCAGATGCAAGTCAGGTGGTTCCTGACCCAGGTGCTGAAGATACACGTGTGCCACTGCTATCTCAGAGGCTTTGCCCGTCTAAACTGCTTGGCACTGCACTTCAGTCTATTCTCACTACAGTAGCAATCGGATTAAAGATCAAGTTATATGAGAATGGATTTTATTTTTACCTCAATGCTTTTCTATGTCTATAAATCAAGGTTAAATTTGATAAGTCTTGTAACTCAACTTCAGGTACTTTGTGACAAAAACTATCACAACACACATTCAGCATGATGTAATTTTAAATCTATCAAACAAAAGCAGGCAATACTTATAGTGCATTCATGAATTCCAGTAAAAATATAAACAACAAAGATTTGAAGATATTCCACAACTGCAGTGCAATGCAGTACTCTGGAAGAAAGCAATCACTGCAGGATTTTAAACTTTCTGTAATATAAATTTCCTTGTATAACTAATTATAATTATACTGAATGTTTGCTTTCTATTAATTCTTCGTTTGGTACCAAATTGACTGAACTCTGAAATCCTCTGAAACACATACACTTAAAATGTGTGTGTGGCTATGTAAATTCTGAAAATATCATATACAGGTAGCCCTCGATTTACACCAGGGATGTGTTCCTGGATGAACCGGCATAATTGGAATCAGTGTAAATTGGAACGATTTTATAATGTAAATCAATGGGAAGTCAATGACATGCGTTCCCAGCACCCAAACATTGACGAGTAATATAATGACATTACATTTAAAGCTTTGAAATAATGTAAATAAAATAAAGGGAATTTAAAAAATATATTTTATACATTTACAATCAGCGATGGCGTGATCAAGCGGCGTTAGTTCTCTGACGAAGTCCCTGGTTGAGGATCATCATGTTTTTTAAAGAAGGCATGTAGTGTGGACTGTCGTGATTTATTCCGCAGATATTAGTCTTTTGAAAGTTTAAAGCAGAAGGAATGAAATTGCATAAGGGCAAACTCGCATATCCAAAAGTTTGCATTTCACAAACAGCTTTTACCGATTCATTGATCTCATTGGAGCAAATTCGCATTAAAAAAACATTCGTAATTGCAGGGATGACTGTATTTATAATTTTTATTCAAAATCAACGATGCAAGAATTATAATTTAGTATAAGAAGCAATACAAGAAACATTTTAAAATGTTATAAGTAATAGTAAAATATATTTTTTCCACTTTTTGACTTTCTGGTTTCAAAATTGGCGTTATTCTGAATCGGTGCAAATCGAGGGCTACCTGTATAGCAATCATACTTCAGGTAATGGATCCAACACAGTTATCTTGTAATAAATCAACCACTGTCATAAATAATCAACACTTACGGTTTGTATAAAAAGGTTTGCGATGTGCTTTTCCTCTGGAGTAGACAGCAGCGAGAATCAGGTACTGGAACGAACTTATACAGAAGAGTGATGTATTCTCCCAGCACACAACTATCCCTTCTTTTGCTTCTTCTTGCTTGATTGGATCAAACCTGAAGAGACCCCAAATGCACATTCATTTTCTTTCACACTTAAAAGTATTTACTTAATAATGCTGAGTATGTTTATTTACTAATTCTCATACCCATAAAAAATCACATTATGATATTCAAGTTTACACAATAAAAATGATACTTATTATTTTAATATGTATTTAATTAAATTCCATCAGCTCTACATGTACCCAACTTCTATAATACAATCTGATGTTAAAAAACAATTTTTGTGTGTGTGTGCATGCGTGTGTCTCTGTAATTCCTGAGTATGAAGCACAAGTGTTAACCACTCAACTGCAATGTCTGGTAAGGTTTCTGTGTGAAACAGTGTATTAGAAAACAAAGCCAAGAGAATGCACAGATCAACAGGCTTTAAAGTTAGGATGACAGAAACTGTACATTTAATGAGGGAAAATATTAAATGGAAATTCCAATATAGGAAACTAAATGGGGGAAAATAAGAAATTCGTGAAAGTGCATATTTCATAAAGCTACTGCACCAACATTTCATAACATGCACACACACATGTATGTAGTTCCTTACCATGGTTGCTTCATCACAAAACACAATGTTGCTATCTGAACTGCCACCATTAATAAAACTTGCAAGATCAGGGGTATAATGTTGCTAGCAGATACTAAGCTTCCAATTGGTCGCTCTGAAACCAGTCTTGTTGCAGGACCAGTGTGCCCCATCAGTATGGCTATACTCGTTGTTATTCCTAGGTCTATATACAGGAACTGCATGTTTCCAAGGATGCTTGCACACTGGAAAGGATACAAGTACATGTAGCAAACAATATGATGAATTCTGAAATTATACAATTTCAGAATTAAATTAAGAGAAGAAAAGTACACATAGCAAACATTACTGAACTATTTAAATACAACAGCACACAATCATAACCATCACAGTAAACTGAAAATACAAAACTGAAACAACAGTTTTATAAGGATAAAATCAGTAAAACCAAGAAATAATTTTAAAGAACCAAACAAATAACGGGAATTTAAGTATTTTTAAGTTTTACCTCTTAAAAAGGAAAACTGAGTGTAAATTACATAACAGGGAGATTTAATATGTTGAATATTAAGCAGAACTTCAAGGAATAAGCCAAGAACAGAAATGCTATATGCATTTACAGTCTCTCCTATAGGACCTGTCCTCACCCTCCTCAAATTGATCACCCTATCAATTTTAAAACTATAACACATAAAGAAAACATTTAAAGCCAATACTATTGGAATAAGGATGATGAAAGCAGATTAAAAGAAACACGAATCAGGTTTCCAGAGTATGAGAAGAGCAACAGAAGGAATAAAATCTTCATTCAGTGACAGCCTATAACTTAATATTACAGTGTTAAATGAACTATGTTTGGTTTGCAACTTTTTTCCTGATTTGGTAATGACAATTTTATCTAATTTCTTTCATTTATTTGTATAAATACTATTTACACCTTCAGACTGTCTGAGAATATTTGTTCTTCTCCCATACATTAGGATTTGGAAGTGTCATAAATTTTTCATGCAACTTTGATTTTAATGCAGTTGCTTTTCCATCTGAGTTACATACATCTCCAGTACATCACATGCTTGACTTGAATGTTGTAACGGCACAAGGTGGAATGTATAAATCATGTAATACCTGATTCGGAATCACAGAAGTGACAGCCTACAATGATGAACTTCCTGACCAGGGTTAGTACAATGTGACTACAAGATCTTCTAATGACTTACTTTGTATAAAAGAAGCACTGTAACGAACTGTATTAGGCTGTACAGAGCCATGTACTTGAAGACTCCAAAACTTGTCACAAGAGCACATCTTCCTTCTTGTATGAGCTTCAGAACACAAGTTATGTTGGCAACTCTGGAGGTGAATGGTGCTGCAACTGAAGCTTCAGCTTCAGACAATGAGATTCCAATGTGAGCAGCTTTCAGAGCCTTTGCAGAGTAAAAACACAGGTATATGTTGCCTCATGTCAAGAAATAAACCACAGTGGTACAGCATTTCACATTACAAGTTCAGGCTTTTCTCTCATTACTTATCCCTTCATTTACCATACAATTCATATATAGTGAACTATAGCTACAAACAGCCATAAAAATATAGTAATTTTCTTACTAATGGTTTATTTAACTGCAATTTCAGTAGCACAAGCTATATAGCATCGAATGATAGGATGATTAAGAATTCAAATAGAACGAATATGGAAGGAAATGGTCTTAGCCTAATTTAAGGTACTATCCTGGCACTTGTCTCAAAGAACTGAAGAAAACAAAAATTAAGTCAGGACAGCTCTGCTCTCAAGCTGGAATCTCCTAAATATGAAGCAGAGTGCTAACCACTTGGTTGTGATGTATGGTTATACATTTTAAAAGCAATGTGTTCTAAAAACTAAACTGTGCCTTCAGAGCATAACTTAAATTCCACATTTTCCCATTTTACCTCCGTCCCACCAAGAAAATGCTTGAAGACTAATAGGAACTAGACCATGACCACTATATTTGATACTATATAACATATGCAGATAATAAAGCATTCTAAAATAAACTAATATATAAGATACCGAGAAAGTTATGAGGGATAAACAAATAGAAATTGAGGGGAAGGAGGTAAAATAGTGAGGATTGGGAAGGAAATAGTCTGCTTTTGAAATTCTAGGTCAGTATTCTCTTAACCCTATCTGTGTTGAAACAAACTCAGAAAGTGTATTCCATACCAGAATACACATAATAGCCTCATGCACTCTTTGCAACATGCATTTAACCTTTAAACGACGAGGATTTAAATGGCAAAGTGGTAGCAGCCCTACAGAGTATTTTTCTTTGCAGGTTTTTAAACTTTTGTGCACGCTCTACGGAAAACTTTAATATTATCTAAAGTAAACATGATAAATTGACGAAATAAAAGTCATATTTATTTGAATAGAACAGAGAATACATAGAGTTTTTTAGAAATGCAGTTAATATTTTAATTGCCTAAATGGGCCTTAGTAACTTTACTTTCTTCTTTGGAAGCTCATTCGACATGGTAGAAGCCATGGTTGTAAACTAATGACCACACAGAAATAATTGTTTCCCTTATTTCAGTGGATACATATTCTTTTAACAGATCATGCCGAGGAATGTGAGTAGCTTTGAATAGGGGGTCTGAAAACGAAGCCGAAACCCACTTGACAATAACAATGTTTATAGCTGTTTATGGTTATAATTCCCGGGTCGACAGCTCAGATTGAACTTGTCAGAACCCTAGTGAAAGTGATTCAATATTTGCAGCCCCTAAAAGAGGCCAAAAGACGTAGCCAAGTCTACTCGCAATGTTGCAAGTTTTGGGTACCGCTCCGGGAACGTTCGTAGGGCCGAGAACACAACTTACGTCCCGGACTGGGAACGCTAGTAAGATAAAGGTTAAAGGTACTAAATCCACTCTGTTTGATTGTTCTCACTTTGGCCACCAGATCTCAGCACCTTAATGTCTGCCTCATAACTTTCCTTATCCATAATTTTATCACTGCTCATAGAATATTAAATGCATGAGTTTGAGATCATGCAGAATAACAGAATCTCCACATCAAATTTCATTTAAATTGGTCCAGTGGTTCTCAAGGTGAAATGGGTGGGCAGACGGAAAGATGGACAGACAGACATGACCAGCCCTCTTCCATTCTCACTTAATGCAAAGAATGCATAACAACCTGCTATCTCATCACACTGCCTTATATAATGGAACCTTCGGGTTAACAGCGAATGACTTATAACAATGTATTTTCTGTACTTACCCCACAGTCATTAGCTCCATCTCCACACATAGCAACTACATAATCCAGACTTTTCAGCACCTCGACTACCTGTGCCTTTTGATCTGGAGCCATGCGAGCAAAAATAGTACTTCTGATAACAATCTGAGGTAACAGTTCAGGGTGGTAATTCTTTAAGGCCGTCCATGTCGCTCCATCAACAGCGATATGACTGTTGGTACTTGGAATTAGTGGCAAAACACAATCCTGGAAATATAACAGACTAAATAATTCTCAAAAGAAACAAGACTGCGAAAACAGTGAAATGCCAATATAACATAATTCTGCATTAATATGAAAATGTGTTTAACGAAATGAAAATATGTGAAAATGTGGTAAAGTGACTCTCATAATGATTCTTTTTAGCCCTCCCACTACCTTATTTTGAATATAGCTACTCTCTGGGCAAAGTGCATGAAATTAACAAATAACAGAGAGGTCACTGCCTGTCCAAGTACTCAAGACATTCTAATTGTATTAAGTATTTTGGAGGTCTATATATTAAAAGTATCAGCTGAATTTAATTTTGCTTTAACAACTACTTTACAAAGAATTCATCAAGTTTCTCAAAAATAATTCACCATATACAAAATTGGTACACAGCATATAATACACATATGCACATACACTCAAACTGGAGAAACTCTGAGATAATACGAACAAACTAATTACAGTCAGAAGCTGAACTAGTGGAAATTATGCAAAGAAAATATGCATTTTTAAGACTGAATTTGCAGTTTCAAACATAATATTCAAGGATGTTGCAGGCTTCATGATTTTTTCTCCTGCATCCTAAACACATCGACATGGAGCACATAATGTTATATACTTGCAGTTCTTTTCTTCTAGAAAAAAGGATTATGGAATTTTGAGGTCACATCCAAGAGGAAGCTGCATTCTGCATATAATATATTTCATTCAAATGACTGATATGTGATCTTTTCCAAGAATGCTATCAATTTATTTTGAATAATGGATTTTTATTTTTAAAAAGGTACCATAACTGTATAATGGTGTGAACTACCAGAAAAGTAAACACTGTTTACTTGAAAAATTTGAACTCACAGAATGAGATCTCAAACTTCCATGATGCAAAGACTGTGGAACACCAACCACTTCCCAGTGAATTCTTCCAAGTTGTAAATCACCTTCAACTGTTACTTGGATCACTTGTTCAGAAGGAGGTACCATGCCACAGTCACGGGCGACACTCACTGCAGTAAGAATATTGTCACCTACAATGAAAGACAGTGTCTATACTATAACAAACATAACAAATCACAAAAAAATACTATATTTTTGCCTGTTAATTAAACCAACTACCTCTGTGGAAGTAGAATCCAAAGGTCCAGTACCAATAATAAAACAGACCAGCAACAGACACAATTGTGAGCCAGTTCCAGCCACTTCTCACTAGAAAAACCTATTTTTCTAATGACTATCTGAATATTATTCTCTCATCACTTTCTCAGTCTTCCAACAGACCACAATCAAAGAGATTTATCAAATCTGTTTATCTGTAAAATTGTTCTCTTGGACTTTTTTCATCATCTAAAAAACAAAGAAGCATTTTGGAAGCTTGATTCTGCTTACATCTTCAGGCAATAAAGGGTAAGAGGAAAGAAACACTATCTTTTGGGCCCCCTGATGTCAGACCTGAACCTAAAGGTCCAAGGTTAGGTCAGGGCAATCACCCTGATGATGGAGGCAGCAAGCACCTCTGAAACAGTGATAAACTTATGCCAAACTTCATGGCACTACAACCCAGAAGACAATCATCTTCATACTTGCCACTTTGAAGAATTAAAATCCTTGTTCTAATTTATTTTCTTCTCCTAGGGTAAGAGACCATATAAAAATGCACACAGTATTTCTGAAAGTACATGGAATAACAGAAGTTTCTGAACTGAATAACTCAAGAAATATTGCCTTATTTTTATCATAAGTATAATTTATGTTTGTTACTACTGTTCCCAGGTACTTAAATTTTAAGTATTTTCAAGCCACTTATTGCATACCAAGTTACTGATTTGGCCTTCATATGCTCATATATTTAGTTTTATCTTTATTTACTTTTAGACCACTTACTTTGCAAATTACAAAAATAATTTCCAGGTCATTCTTCATGACTGATGATGTTAATTTATTGGTCAGACATAAATACAATAAAGAAAAACACAAGAGCTACTACACCTTTGGATGCTAGTAAGAAGTTTGGTCTAAAAGCAGATACAGAGAAACCTAAGTACATGTTCATGCCTCATCATGAGACTACAAGACAGAACCAAAATAAAAAGATACCTAATAAATCCCTTGAAAATGCACTGAAGAATGATTTTTCTCCATGGAGTCCATTTCTCCTTTATGGTATTTGGATACAAATATAAAATAGAAGGAAGGCTCTAACCTGTTACCATCACACATCGAATCTGAGCCACCTGTAGTTGTGCAATTATGGGTGAGGTTTCTGGCTTCAAAGCGTTCTGCATTATCAGAAGGCCAAGGAACTCCAAGCCATTTTCCAGCTGTAATATTGTCAGGATCAGTCACATCTATATACACAATAAAAAATGAAACCAAACAGTGTGTGTATGTGTGTCTGATTTACACTCCATGCTCATCTTGGCTGTCAGATTTATGAATACAATGATAATGTTTGGATGACTACACATTTTGTATTCACACCTTCTTTCATTGACAGGATAACATTATGGTGATTTTCAGGCATTTTTAACACCACAACAGACTTCTCCTTGGTGAAGAAACTGATAGCAGACTCTGTCCTCATATTTATACTTATGTACAATGGAGCCAACACAGCTCAGTCATTCAGTTCGCACAGCAATGTGCAAATGCCAGCAAGGTCACAATTTTCTTTTCACCACTACACTCAAACTAGCATTTCCGATGTGCACCAGAGATTCTCTCAAGTAGTAAAACAGCTGAAGGAAAGTATGAACCCTACACAGTGCAACAACCAAGAAAACAGCCATCTTCATGCTGGATACTGTCTACTGTCTACTGTCTTGATGTATATTTTGTACAAATTACATTTCAAGAGTTGGCTCTGCTCCCATCTTCTGGTAGTTGGCTGTCATTGTAGTGACAGATTTATTTCTGTCTGTTTTTACATTAGTGGAAACAAACCTAGTACCCAAGCTTGTATGCAAACTGCTAGAACACCTGAAAATGGAGTCTACTAAATGGAGGGTGCAGCAGTGTGTGTGGAAGGGTCTGGATGATAGCCCACCTGGAGCCACCATCAGTGAAGATCTTTGTGGTAGTAATGAATCTTCCAAAAACATACATATTCTTATGTACCATTGTCACGGACCTTTAGAGTGTTACTTTGTCTTCAGGACTTGAAAAATGTTGATTGGAAATTGGTTTATTTTATGATGCTGCATCAGATGTGTAAGGTACATAGGAATGTATGTTACACAGTAGAATGATTATAGATAAGCATAAGGGTTATACTTTACTGTACTATATTTTAATTTGGCTGGAAAGGATGAGGAAAACTTCAGTCATGAAAACCAATCCCATCCAAGGTCTGAACTGGGTACCTCCCAATTACAAGTCAGATATGTTACTACTGAGAAAACCTGCACAACAGCAAGATTTAATCTTCCTGTTCCAACCTTAAAGGTTCAATATATTGTAACAGATGGTACGACATTACACAACAAAATGACACCAAACATAACATGCACAGCACCCAAAGCACAACAAGCAGTTCTGATAAGTGTTAGCTTAGGTAAGTAACTGTGTAAGATTAAGGAAAAGCTGATCTTTGTAATCAAACATGTTAGTCACCTACTTGCTAGATGGAATCTATGTTCAGTAATTCACTGACAGACACTGCCCCTGGTGGATACTGTCTTTATACATCATGGTGTTAATATATTATACCTAAATTTGGCAGGTTTTTGAAAGTAGTTGTAATCACAGATGTCATATGCACTAAGCAGTATTATCTTGTTATTGTTTTCAAGTTATTGTTGTTTTGCGGTTATGGAACACAGTGAAAGTTAAGAAGATGAAGTGGAAGATATTTCTGTTGATAAAAGCAGCAGTGATACTTCTGTGTCAGCAGTAGAAATTACAGATTCAGACAATTGAAATACAAGCTTGACAAATGGGTGGAAGTGAAACCTTCACATCTAACACACAGCATAAACCATCTTAAGCAGAGCCTGAGATAACTCATGACAATAATGTAGCTGTTACATGTAGATTTTTTTGTGCTAGAAAGTGTTTTCTAAAACCGGCTCACCCCCATTGCATTATTTATGTTAAAAACTCATAAAACTGAACTAAAGTAATATGCCTTCTTTTGGCTTCCAATTCAGGAAAAGAATTAGTAAAGCAAGTGATTAATAGCAGCTGTTCAATGTGAATGATAATAATGTCTCTTTGATTTTGACACAACATAAATGTATTAATTTTATAATGTAAATGTTTAGACATGCTAGTAGTTTTAGATTTAGAGATAACTGTATTTGTACTATATGATGTGAGACAGATAGGGAAGCGGCCTTTGGAAACTCACTGCTGTTTTATTGGTCTGTGAATCAGAAAAGGGTACAAACCACTGCATAGCTCAATGCAGCATTCTACCCAATTAATCCAATCAGTTAACCTTTGCCATTAAGCTACCTGATCTCTGTCGGTTCTTTGTGCCTGTTTCCAGTTGAACTTAGGAGACAAGTTCTTGTATGCAAGGGCAATGACTCGATAACCGGTCAGAGTGTATTCCATTAGAAGAGAATCAAAGTTTCCTGGTACTGTAAGAGTAAACATTCCAACATTAATAAAATGCACATGCTCCATATGTTTCCATAACACTTTAGCATACATTTCACAACAGAAAAGCATCAGATGAAACATGCACTTACAATTAAAAGTATACAAAAGTACTAAAATCATTCTTACAATTTTACTTCTGTTCACATAAAATCTTCTTGATGTGCATTTATTCCAGATACAAATATGTTATTGAAAAATCTCCTTTCTTTGCATTCCACTACATACAAAACATAAAATATAAAACACATTGTGGTCTATAACCAGCACTTGATGCATTTTTCAAAGTGATGTAAATTTAACAACATTCATTATAGGAGAAATGAAATTTATGCCTCTGTGCAGCATACTTATTGTCTGTACCGATGGCTAATGCTGTTAATATTTTCACTGACACTGGGAAGTATGAAAGCCACTTAATTTTCCACAAGTTTTGACTGTAGTAGGTGTATCCCATGCTCTGTTGATTATGACCTGCCATAGTCAGTGGAGAACACATCACCGACCTAAAATTTTCAACTTCTTTGTGAGCAGCAATTGCTTAAATGAAATTTACATTTGAAATAACAATATGATTGAAAGGGTTAACAATAGATTTGTATGTATAATAAATAAACATCATTTGCTGGGGTAATTCAGTCAGTACAGTGACTAAATATGGGCTGGACAACCAGAATTCAATACCTGACAGGGGCAGAGGATTTTTCCTCTAACCTCTGCATCCAGACTGGCTCTGGGGCCAACCCAGCCTCCTATCCAACAGGCACTGGGGTTCTTTCCTAGGGGACAAGTGCAGCCAGGGCATGACACTGACCACTCACCTCTATCTAGTGCTGAGATTAAGAATGAGTAGGAGCTATACCTGCTCTCCACCCAAGCACCTACATAGCATGTAGTGGGGCAGTTTTACTTCAATAAATGAACATCAGGGTACACAAAGGATGAAAAATCATGAAGACAGCATGTGAAAAATGCATGTTCTCAGATCTGAGATTTGTGGTTCTTATGGCAGTGAATATGCCAATTGTGTGTTGCGACACCATGTTGTAGTTAACAATATTTTGGAGGAATCTATCACTTCCATCTCCATAACAGATCTTGAAACATAAATAACCACCTACAAAACTATATGGTGTCACAACCCAGAAGAATACAATCAACATCTTTTCTCCAAAATTGTGCATACCTTTCAACTCAACTTTAATGAGTGTTATAGGACAGTAAATACCATATTGGTCTGTTTTCTAAGAGTGAGAGCCTGAGAAAATATACTTAGCTTAAAAAACTACTGGAGAAGTCTGAGCCCAGTGAAAGACAGTGAGATGATTTTGGACCCTTCCAAAAAGCAGGATATCAATTCCACTATAAGCACCGCCCACCATCACATACATAACCAGAAACACACATGCAAATAAAGTAAAGTTCACTGATAAAAGTTTCAGCTTATATTTATCATGTGAAGGCCAACAGGCTTCTTTATCCCTTTCCTTGCTGTGAACAGGGTGTCATTTTCAACTGAAATTCAAATGCATTTGGAATTATGGTAGTTACAATAAATAACTCTTCTGCCATCCTTTGGCAATTCAAGCTGTCTATAGTTTCCTGAATTTCAAAGAAACATAAGTGAAATAGACTTTGTTTTTAAATAAAACATGGAAAGGGTTAAACAAGATTTATCATCACATCATCCATCCACACTTTATCACTATCTCAATTTCTTCCCTCACATTTTCCTTTATCATATGGAAATAGGAGATTTAAATTCTCATCATGGGGCTGGCAGCCAGATTTTAATAGACAGAGAATGTCTTCATGTACCTATGTTTATGTGCAATCTTGGAGTTCAGCTATCCACGATTCTGATACTATTCAAGATTGTAAAACCAATGCAAAAATAAACTTTCAGTAATAAAATAAACCAAACAAACATCTACAAAAAATAATATAAACATTAATTAATGTGCAAATTAAAGAAGAATAGAAGCTTTTGTTTTAATATACATAAAACACCAACAGACAAAACGTTATACTAATCTTTATCGAACACGTCATTGTAAATGCACAGTCCAGCCAACTTACTCTGCATCAGACAAACATACTGCTAAACTGTTAACCCAGTAGTTAAAGTCTGGCACCAACTTTGTATTGTGGCAGTTTAAATTCCCTATTCTCATACAATAAAGGTGTACAATATGTACAAAAGACGGTCAAATTAAACAACCAAGTTACCTTATTCCAATATATAAAAAATGTAATGTAATTCAACACACCTGTTTCTTTTTTAGACAGAGTCTTGATTTTTTCTGGAGCTCCTTTGGTATATAGGGTCATATGAGGTGACCCAAATTTGCGAGCAATCACAGACATGCACTGTTTAGCCGAGCTGAATGGAAACTGATGAACTAGACAGATTTCATATGGCAGGTGCTACAAAATAAAGTTATTAACACATCATCTGTCAAGAAGTAAATTACAAATTGTTGATAAACCACATTTTCAAATAAATAAAAAAATCAGAACAACTAAATATACCTCAGTGTCATCCACATCAAACATATTTTGACATAGTTTCATTGCTCCTATCTGCAAGAAAAAATATTGAAAAATTCACATCCTACTAAAAAAAAACAGTAATCTTAACATATTGAAATATGCAGTTAGTCCATGATTTGAGAATTTCAAGGTGATGCAATATAAGTAGAGGTACTCTGAATTGTACCATGTAGTATCTTGGCTGTATGCCAGTGTTTCAGAGGAACACAATGCTTCCATCTTCACAGTTCAACATTCTTTATGTCAGCCTTTAAGATGGAGGCAGAATGTTCCCCCACAACACAGTCATACAATCAGAACACTGCACAGTGCAACAACCCAGAAGATTGCCATCTACAATGTAACTACAGGGTGGCGCACGAAATGTCATACCATTTGATTTACACATAACACATTTTTATTTTTATAAAAGTAGTACAAAACTGGTATAGAATTAATCACTATAGCCTGGAAAAATGTTCCTAATGAATAACGTGTTCAATATGACCGCCGTTTTGCCTCACGACCTCTTGCAAATGAACCCTTGTGTTCGTCACCACTTTTTGACACAAGTCTTCAGATAGCTCACGGCACAACTGCACTATGTGGGCTCTGAGCTGCACTACATTTTATGGCCTCCTTTGGTACACTTTCTCTTTGAAGAAACCCCACAAGAAGAAATCACACGGATTAATGTCTGGGCTATGAGGCGGCCACATTTTGCCGCCCTCATGACGTTCAGGAAACCGATGCAACATCACACAAAGATTAAACGTCTCGTGCAGGAAATCAAGAACCACGTTCACAGTGTGTGGATGGGCTCCATCCTGCATGAACCACTGTGTTTGCATAGGGAGACCTATTGCCAAGAGATGGGGGATAAAACTGTTTTCCAACATGTCTTTGTATCGATCTTTGTTAATGGTTTCATCGAAGAAAAATGGACCAATGATTCCGTGACTCGAAATTGCGGCCCCTACATTAACTTTTTCCGCATAACTTTCTTCTTTGTGCAGTATGTGAGGATGTTCCCTTGCGCAGAATCGAACGTTTTGTTTATTCACAACACCGTTCACATGAAAGTAGGCCTCGTCTGTAAACCATGTGTTGTGAAGTACGGCCTCTTCCTCCATTGCCGTCAATGCAAACTCTAGCCTCCGCTCCTTATCTCTCGCCGTAAGTTTATGCATTACGGTCATCTATCAAATTTCTACGAACTACAGCATTCACTCGCACAGTTGGAACATCGATACTACAATATTATAGTTTTAATGCGATAATTAAATGGTATGACATTCTGTGCGCCACCCTGTATAATTCATATTATTGGATATCATAACTGCAAACTGACACAAAACAAGCTTTGAATTTTCCAATGTGGCAAGCAGTCTGTAAAAAATAAACATCCATGTTCATTGTGTTCACTCACATCACGATGCATTCTTGGCCTAGGTTTCACCACTGCTGAACACAGCGTATCATACCGACTGGTGTCCTGTCCAGGTTTCTCCAGTACCTGCACACACAGCAGTCATAACTGCACCTACAATGTATTTCTTGATAGCATTATGCTAGGTAAGACATTAAGTTCTCACAGTGATGATTATGAAAATGGATGTCTTCTGGTATGTTGCACCATTTAATGTCATAGATATCAACACACATTTCAGAAGAGCTTATACCCTGATGATGGAGGCAACAAGCTCATCTAAAATGCCAGTATCCACCATGTTACACAATGCAACATCACAGAAAACAGAAATCTTCAACGTTATACTAACTCAATTATTTCTTTGCATCTCAATTTATATAATAATGTTTTATCAACTGCATGCATTATAAACCATCTCTTATCAATACCAATCATATTTCCATATCAGTTAATACTGTATAACATCATTAAGAAATTTAAGAATCAATCAATCAATGTTAAGGCATAACACTGCACATTCTGTTAAACTTACCCATTGTGTGGCTTCAAACATCATGATGTCCAGTGGATCACCAGTCAGTTTCCCATCTACAACAGTAAGTGAATGGCAGGTAGCCATGGTTGCTATGAAGGGTGATTCTACAGGCAAAACTGCAGGATCTCGTACTGGCTCATCACAGAATTTTGAATTCTGGGATGGCAACATACTCCACAAATTCAGTCCTTCCTCAGTTAAGGTTCCTGTCTACATAAACAATAACATTTAAATCTTTAAGACTTATTTAACATCTTAGATTCAAAGACACAATACATACCATATTACAGACTGTACAAATCTTAAAGAAAGAAATACAGATACAACAAAGCTATTAGTAATAAAATTTAGGAAATTAATTTTGCTTAACATAAGTTCAAACCTTCTGAAAGTCATGACATACAGTGAAGACAACAACTCCTTGTAATACATGTAGCAAATTACAAAAGGAAATACTTAAATTGGACATTTTTATGAAATATATCAACACACATGTTGAAACACAAACAATTGAGATGGCTATGCTGAAACTACAAAAGACAGAACCATGTCATTTAAGGAGAATTAGGTAATGGAAAGACTAACTGAGAAACAAATAATAAAAGTTCTACATCTCAACATTGTCTTAAAAGAGATATTTAAAAGAATGAACAAAGGAATGAAAACCTTTAACTCACAGAACTGTGGTGGCACTTGAGTCAAGCCCTTTGCTGTTGATTGATTCAAGTATTAAAACATGATATTTTAGATAAAACTTACAGAATTAAAAGAGATAAATATGTCACACAAACTAATTATGCTCACAGCCACAAAAATTGTTGAGAAATGAGAAAACTATTAAATGTGCTTTAATATATGTTACCTCTTAAGAGAAACATGAGAAGTAACAACACAAGAAAACAGTAGCAATGAGTACAAGCTAAAATGAATATGACTAGCTGAAATATTGTTAAAAGAGGTCTATCCACTGATTTACTTATAAAAATACTTAACTGAGTATTACATAAAATTAATTAATTCATTCCAATCAGATCTCCTAATTACATATTCACCACTAAGTAACTAACTAGCTGGCTTACCGAACCCAAAGGTTCATCACCGAATTAACCAAAGCCCTCCACCGGACCCTGTCCTGGGCCAACAAAATCCAGTTTCCTTCAACTCCTATCCCCCATAGATCCCGCCTGAGATTATCCTCCCATCTACGTCTAGGTCTCCCCAGCGGTCTCTTCCCTTCATGTTTCCCAACCAGTACCCGGCAGACACCTCTTGTACCATCCATGTGTGCTACATGCCCAGCCCATCTCATTCTTCTCGACTTAATCACCCTGACAATACTGGGGGAGGAGTACAGATTTTTAATCTCATCATTATGCAGTTTTCTCCACACTAAAACATATTTTAAAGAATATGATATTTTTCATGCTGCAAGCATTTTGGAATATAGCAAACCATTCCTGAGTTCGATATACCAATGGACATACCTTATCAAAGCAGACAAGTTTGACCTTTCCACAGACATTGATCCTTGGAGGAGATATACAGAAAATTCCCAATTTTTTTAGTCTACTCTGAGAATAGACAGTACCGGCTGTCATCGCCGCAGGTAACGCAGGAGGCACCACAATTGTCATTATGTCCAATGTCCTCAACAGAATGGTTTCAATAGAAGCCTGTAATAAGACAAATATTACAGACTCGTTATCAATTACAACTGTCATTACCATCAAACATTCTCAGCCAGCACAGCCAGAGCCCTGGCCAAGATTTAAACTGGGTACCTCCCAAATACAAGCCAGATATGTTATGAATGAAACTACTATTATTTTCTAAACTGTCCACTATCCAAGGATATTTAATATACAAGGCATTTTGAGTGTTTACACCATTCCTGTCTTTAGATCTATGGCTGTCATTAAATTGGTGCTTTTTTAGTTTTATGTCTTTGACACCAGTGGCAGCAGTCAGGATCAAACCCAGCAGTCCGGCAGTTACTTTTCAAGTTTAGCATTTTAGGATTTTGGGTTCTCTCAGATTGAGACCAAATTTTCCCATCCACACCCATTCGGTTTAGAATACAGTATAATAAAAAATTAAAGTATAAAATGTGTGTGTCTTAGACACTTGTAAGATAGAGACTGTACGATTACCTGATGGGACTTAAAATAAATTGTTTCTTTCATGTCCAAAAATACTGTGTACACTTACATGTCGTTTGACATACAGATGAATACAATATGCCATGCCTAGTGCTGCAATTAAGAATAGAAAAAGGATAAATCGAATAGAGTCTTGGTAGAATTTAAATCCAGACATAGGCTTTGGAAACAGAATGGACCGAACCAATTCTCCCTTCACTGTTGAAAATCCTGTTCGGACAACCACAGCCATCACCTGTATAAAAAAAACAGAAACATAACCTAAAAACAGGTTTATCTCCATGATATGTTTCAATAAGCACATAAGAGCAAGTATTAACCCTTTAACTTCCATAACCAGCATGCATAGCATAGCATAGCATAGCACAGACCACACAACATTACTATACCTGGGATATCCTGAGCTACAACTTTCACATTTTTTTCATCTTTCCTTCAATGCCTATACCACCTGTGATGGACTGTAACTACTGTTATCTTCTGCTAAATATATGTAACAATTTGTATGACTCTAATGATAATATTGTTCATATTATCATTTCCCACAAGGCACAGGGCATTGAAACAGCCTTTGTGGTGTCCCCTCCATAATTGCTGGCCCTCAACCCAATCAATTTCAATATTTGGAATCACTTAAAGAAGTCCATGCTATAAACATTCCACAGAACCTATGACATCATATTTAGGATGCAGGACACAATGCTAGTCACCACTCCTGGTATGCATGAGTGTGCAAGACTAATTCCTATACCCATTCTTGTGCATATTACTAACAAAAACTGACTAAAAATTTACTCAGAACAGAACCTTGTGGGACAATGGTTCTCAACCTTCTGTGAGTCATGAACCAGTCAAATTGCAGTGGATTATTGAAGAAACAGAAGGTACACTATGTATCTGACATTACTCACTAGAAATAACCTAAACCTGTCTATGTAAATTTTAATGCCTTTATGCAGAATTAAAATAAGAGTCTACTATGCTAGACTAAAAACTATATATAAACTTCACCCTCAAAACTAAATGTTTATCTATCAACAGTAACGAATTATTTGAAAGAATTCCTTCTGACTCTCACCTTCAACCCTGCACAGGAATACATATAACAAAAAAAGTATTAACTGACTGTAAACATGCATCTGTAAATTTTGTTCATATTTCTGTTTCTGTATATACAGTAAGATTAACTGTAATCTTATGTGATCATAATTGTCACATGTCAGTGCATGTAATTTATTCATATGGAAATTAACAAATGGGATATTTCTATACATGGACAGATTGGCATTTAGTAACAAACATAGCTTTGAGAAAAGTGAAATTGTAGTTGTCATTAAATATAATGCAAAACTGATAAGTAATTATTAATGATGTTACTGTGTGTGTAATTTAATTCATTAGTATATTGATGTAGCTCTGTAAATACAGAGACACAAGTAAATGATTCAACAAAAAGAAGGTACTTTCAGAAACATCAAGAGCAAAATGAAAAAAAAAGAATGTTTCAATAAATTCTTTAAATACAAAACTAAGCTACATATCTCATTCAAATGTTAAATGCTCAATTTCTTGTATCATGAGCTGTGTTTAGCATACATCATAAAATTCATTCAGATCATGCAGAATGGGTATGGATACTGTAAAAATGTATCTTTCAATCATTTTGGGAGTATTGTACTGAAATTTAAATTCATATAGCATGTAAGAAGTACCTTGTTGTCCCCAAAAATCCTGGTTTGGATGATATGAGTACCACTAAACAGTGTGTGCCTCTTGTGACTAACAGGATCATAATATTCATCTGAATGAGGTGGAGGAGTCTTTGTAACTGGCATGCTTTCACCTAAAGCAAAATTAAAGTATTTTATTACGATTAAAATGTTTCACAATGGGTGGGTAGGTGGGTGAGGAAGTGGACAGATGGGATGGACAGCTGTATGGATTGAGGTGGAAGGGTGACAAGTGGAGTGTCAAAAATTTAACAATGTTTTCAATTCCAAAGATTATATGGTACTGAATGTTAAGGTAATTATGTAGTTAAAAATTAACTGAAAAGAAGCTAGAAGGAAACACCATGGCCTTAACCATAAAAATCCTCAACCAGGACAGCCATTCTTCAGGGCCAAGACTTCAACCTGGGACATCCTGAATGTGAAGAACAAGTGCTAACCACTCAATTACAATGTTCAATATCATATTTAGAGTTTGTGATTTTATGTATTCATGAAAGGAAATTAGTCTGCTCAAGATAGATTTAAGAAACTCCATTCTTAGATGGCTTATAAAATGAAGTACATATTCTTCAAAATATATTGACAGAAAGGACTGTTTAAATAAATATCGTAAATATTTACATTTTTCCATTTAGTCATGGGGACTTGGCACAAAACTCTGAATGTACTTTAACCCTTTCCATACAATGAGCAAGACACGATGCTTTAAAGCTTAAAAAATGTTGTCCTGGCATCTCTCTACAGTTTAATACAACTGCCTGTGGCTTTTCATCAGTATAAACAGTAACGGAAGTTATCTCTACATATAAACCAGCATCAAAATGTATTAATGTATTAATAGGAAAAACATCTTTTGGGAGATATCACAAATTCATACATTGGAGATAATTCAAACTGGCTTACCTGTAAGGATGCTCTCATTTACAATGCAATTACCAGTGAGCAGAACAGCATCACAAGCCATAAAGCAACCTTGTGGTGGGATCATAATGACATCTCCAGGTACTAAACAACTTGCAGGAATGTCCTCATATGCTGAAACATGTACAGATGTTTATAAAAAAAGTCCAAAAATCAAAATAAGACCACTTCAGAAGCATATATGAACAAGACAAAATAATATTCTGAAAGAAAAACATTTTCTGAATATATTCAGGTCTACCTTCATCAACAAAAGAATTCTGTTACTGTCATTTTAAAAACACTTGAACTCTGCCACAATTTCAAAGAATTTATTAGCAATTCATATGATTCTGTCCTGCATACTATGAGGGTGGTAAAAAAATATGGTAACAAATACTACAATGGAGCACCAGCTATCCTGCAGTTTCTGTGGCTTTCATGTGAATGCTGGAACAGGATCATGAAACAGGTCACAAAAGTTTTGTATCCCAAACTTTCTAAAACTGTACACAATCATTCCCTCACTTTATCTGACACTAAACAGACTCTGCAGTTATTACATAAATCCATGCATGGTACTGACTACATATGTGCCCTGGGACTCAGGTATCCACTGAATGATTTCACAGGGTGCTGAGCACTCCCTGAACTTCCCTACCTTCACGTTAACTTCTGAACCATTTCCCTATAATTACTTTTAATCAATATACAAGTAGATACCCATCTGCACCTAGACAAGCTCTTTGTTAAATTTTAATAATTTTTCATACTGCTTTGTGCCTGTGCATTTTTTATAGGTGGTAGAGCTGAGATGTAATGTGGTCACTTGTATTCTGACTAAGGATATCCTTGGAATTCAAGAGCAGAAGAGGTAAGTGAATGCACTGCAGTTCCATTCCATCGTGTTTCTAGTGCCAGCTCTGTTTTTGACAGAATTTTGACTTGTTTGAGAATGTCTGCTGTGATAATTTATAACGCAAACTTGAGCACCCCCTGGAATGTTTAAAAGTCAAAAGTCATGGATGTATCTATGATATATAAGAAGACTTTGGTACACATCACTTCCAAGAAGTGACCACAAATCTTTAAACATCTGCCTCACTGTAACACCAAGGCACCTACCCCAGCGTAGAAGAAATCAGCGTCAAGCACCTTTAGCCAGGAAATGACAGCGTGTTGCATGTCACCATCAGCTGCAAATCACTTACCAACCAGGTGATCCTTCAGGGGTCCAGAAAGATGGAAATCAATTTATGCAAGTTTGGGACTGTGTGGCAAGTGGTCCAGATCTCCCACACATACAACATGCAACATGCTGCTACCTTATGTTTTGAAATTGCCTTGTAGTTAGAAAACACAACTTTATTTTACATTTATTCTCTCACTTACAACCTCACTGGCTTATAAGAGTGTCTCATTGTTTTCTTTATGGCATTTAAATTTTCTCCATATCAATATTAGATCACAGAAAACATACCTGAACCTTTCCGGCAGACAGTAACTGCGGCAGAATTTGAGGCAGCAACCAAATCTCGCAATCCTTCACTTTGCTGAAAGAGACCACAAATATCAAATAAACATTCATAATGTAGAAGCACTTTTAATAATTTTCTTCACTGAGGAACCCAGTGACATATAACAATAAAAAAAAAAGTTGCCTAATGTTCACAGTTCTGACACTTCACACAATAGAAACCTACATTAAATAATGCTAGTTTTACTCCCTCCCAATAATATAACAGAACCACCACATTTGTATCACCGATGGTAGGGAACTAAAAAGTAAAAACACAGAATGAAGGCGAATACAAATATTATCTTACCTTCCGAGTCTGGAAAAGAGAAGTGACAACTGACGCAGTAGTCAAGAACACAATGCAACATGCATAGTATAAATACTCATCAAGGGACCACAAGATAACACTAAACACTTGAAATATATAAAATGGATTGAACACCTCCTCAATAAACAGTCGCCAGTACGATTTTACATTGATTATGATCATATTTTCTCCATGTAACTGAATCCTGAAAATCCAAGAACACTCATATAAGACATTTTCTTTTAAAATATACTTACAATGCAGTGACCAATTACCTATACCTCTTTTGCTCACACACTTTGGAGTACAAATGTAGCTACATTAACAAAGTTAAAACAAAATATATTTTCTATTAATATCAGCACCATATTTTTCAACAAGTTCAAATCTGTTAACTGGTAAGGTTATGTTACAATGGATTGGGTTAATTTAATTTAATGAGTGGTATGATAAGTTCATGTACAGTCTAGTTGGTACAAATATAAACACAACCCAGCTACTTTACCCCCAGGGAAAAGGCACACAGTACAAACTACAGAGGAGGCTGAGTGGGTCCCAGAGCCAGTCTGGACATGGAGACTAAGAGAATACTGAGTATGACTGATACATAAATTGTATGGCCATACACACACTTGTTCTAGAGAACTGAAACATATCTGCAGTACAGAAGAGTAAAGAAAAAACTGAGGTAAGTGCTGATGGAGTAATTATTTTACTATTTAATAATAATGTTTATATTGATATTATAACTATATGACCTTTGCATAAATTGGGGGATAATATTAAACTAGATCTTAGGAGAAAAAGGGTGGGTAGATGTGCATTGCATTCATTTGGCTTAGGATAGGAACTTGTGAATTTTTGGGCCATAAAAGGTAGGAAATTTCTTGATAAGCAGAATGTACTATCAGTTTCTCAGGAATGACTTTGGTCTATGGAATAAAGTAGTTACTACAATTGTATACAGATACATCATTCCATTTTATCTGTTTTTCCATCAGGTTTAAAGTCAGTCATTAGAATGGAAAATTCAGTTTTTGTCAGATATCAGAGGTTCTCATGGTTGTGAAGATGTAAACATGGTCTTCTGGATTCAAATACTGTGTGATCTTGTACCTCGTTACCAACATTTCTAAGGAACATTAGCAACCACCTGCAAGACCACATGGCATCACAACATAGAAGATTGTGATCTATGCCTGTATGTACACACACAAGTGCAGACATGGTGATACCATAAGTCATCTTTCAGCCTCCAAACAGTCACACTTTACATCAGTGAAATGATTGGTACAGTGACAATGGATGACACATCCAGGAGCAACCTGGCCAACCCTCAGAAACAGCACCAACTATCCAGCAGTTTTTGTGGTTTTCTAGGTCCATCCATCATGTGATAGCATTTTTAGTCAGGTTACAACAGCTTTGTTTCCCACCCTTTCTAAAATTGTACTTAATCATTCCCTCACCTTCTTTGACACAAAATAACCTCTGTAGTAATTACACAGTTATTAAATAATACACAAAACAAACCAAGAAGCTTCTTACATCTGTTCTTGCTCATTTGCTGAGAGTCCATGTGACACATGAAGCTGAGACAAAGTTGTCATGCCATCATCAAGGCCATGTAATCTGGTGAAGGCCTTTATTCCATCATCCCACACAAATTTTAGCAGATGATGGTGGAAGTAACGTATCTGTCTCACTTGCCCTGACCCAGGCCAGCTGCATACTGATATAAAAATTTGTTGTATGGAATAATGCCCATTAAAATCCTGCAATTTCACAAACATTTAAATATCAATCCTAGGATTGGTTTGCAACCCCATTTTGGGGTTGTTAGGTTTTGTTAATAGTTATATTTAAAAAAAAATTAAATGAGTTTTAAGAACTACATGACAGGCTAATCCACGATACTCACAGTATAAAATTTCATTGACCTAGATTAACACAATTCTTGTTGGCAGTACAAAATTTCATTAAATTTGTTTTGTCATAATTTAATGTGAGTTAATCCATTTGTTCAAGCTAGCAAGGGCAACATTCATGTAAATTTGGAAACAGTAATTTCTGGATGTTAAATAATAATTAATTAATGCAACATTTATAAATTCATCAACAGAACAGAAGGTGTGTATCAAAAAGGTTCCTTTCAATGCCAACTAAAACTGCCTTCTGTTACTAGGCAGACTTTAAATTCTTATACAATTTAATTAGTGCACAGAATACACCTTTATGATACAGTGTAAGATTAGAGGTTGAACTGTGATGATCATGTTTGGGTCTAGTATTAATTTTACACACATCAGAAATTGGACGAAAAATTTCGAAGTTATTGATTATTAATGTCATTAAAGCAAATACATACCCAATGGCAAATGGTTAAATGCAAAATCTCTACAAAACTAATTTTTAGTACCTGCCACATTTTTTATCTTCCTTACCAAATTAATTACCTGGATTAGTAGTATATGGGCCTCTTCCAAGGAACATTTTGAATATTTAATGTAAGCCGCATACTGGCAATACCAATGTAGTAGCATGTACGGTATGCCAGCAAATAGGACTGCAAATGCGTGAAAGACAAACTGTTTGCAATAGCTAGTCCTGAATCCATAACATGTTAACCTTTCTTCACTTTCAATTTCTTGACTATTTTCTTCCCCAATGACTGCATAACCTCGGTGATGGCTAAAACCAACTAAATTAAACACTTTTCTACCTCTGAACGACATTATTTACTGAGTATCTTCCACAACACTGAACTATGCCTCTATACTATTAAAATACTTAAAACAAACTATACTGTTTCGCTTAATACTGAATGCTGTATCGCCATATTCCATTTTCCTGTCATTACTTATTCTCTTCGAGCTGCCTTATCTAGTTGGTACGGCCTAATACGCTATAAAAATAACAAATACACGAGCCTACAACATAAGCAGCACAATGTAATTTAACAACTCCATTGCCTCATTCATAAAACAGAGACGTCGCGAGTTGTTGGTATCGTTTGACACACACACCCACTTCTAGCGAGACGTCAGCTGGTACTTGCATTTATCCAGTTCAGTCAGATAGCTTTCTTTGTCAGTAGAAACAGAACGTTGCTGTTGGGCGCGTTAAACGAAATGTTGAAACTCCAAGAGGCATCAACTTCCTCATAACAAATATTCACGGTGTAAATTCCCTTAGATATTTAATCCATATTTTCAAATTGATTAATATTTCGTGAGTCAAACAGGGAAGCCCTTCCATTCCAACTACCGACTTTATTCAACTTTTTTATCCCTCTTCGAAAATGTTACTACAAAACTCTAAAAGTTGGGTTATTCGATAATATTGCAGTTTACGATGGGGGATATGATAATGTTTATCATAAATTCTCCTTTAAAATGAAATATTGATAGCTTTAATGTCATTACCAATTTGTATGAGTTTTATTTAAATAAAACTGAAGAAAATTATGTTGAGTATGGGTTGTCCCACTTAACATGGAACATATTACAACCATATATGTCATAAGCAGCATTCACCAGCATTGTTCTTTGTTGTGACTCATTTCATGCTGCTTATGACTTATATGTTCCATGTTAAGTGGGACAACCCATACTCTAATTTTCTTCAGTTTTATTCAAATAAAACTCATACAAATTGGTAATGACATTTTGGTACTGGAATGAAAAGAAATTAATAATCCACAGTTTACAAAGTTTTTATCAGGGTGTCCCATGTCTGATATTTTAGTAGCATTCATATCACCCTTGTCCTTGTGCTTAGTTGCTTGCCATTACTAATTATACTACAAAAAGACTGGAAAGGTGTACTCTTGGAGTATACTGACATTCTTCATACCATGTCAAGTAGGTCATGTTTCTCAGTTCATTCTTACACTAATAGGATCCCAAGTCATTTTTGTGCACGTCTTCCAAAAATTACCTTGAATAACTCTCAGGAACAATAAAAATTCCATTGTTACACAATACTCGGTTCAAATGAAGAGGGCAGGTTTCTATTATTACACAACAGTAGGATATCTGGTCACATTATTGCAGAAAAGTCAAGTCACTCACACTAAAGGTTGAAAATACCAAAAAATTGGAATTTACCTCCTTTTCTTTGAACACACAGTTGTTTTCACAGGTACATGCATACTTAAAGCACATGTACATATGCACACACAAACTAAAGATGTTGGTTTTAATTGGGCAATGAAACATGTAAATTACACTGGTCTCATTTTAAGTTTCTGAAGAAAAAAAACTATATTTCTGTTCTTGTATTTATTACTAGAAATTACTTTACAGAAAATGAAAATGCATACAAAAATTAATGTACCAAGTGGATACAAACAATTTACAGTTAAAGTCACAATTATGAAAACTCAGTTTTATCATTAAAAATCCTCTGAGCATATATAACAAATGATATCACAGAAATAAAAATCCCAGTCACTAATATATACCTATTACAGTATTCTGGATCATCCCCTAGGGTGAGCAGAACTGCCTTAAGCCTTTCCCAGCCAGCGAAATTATTGAACCAATGAGAAAGGTGGTGCTAGGCCTAGAATGATCTGATCTGACAAATACTTAGAATGTTTTCGATTGCACATTACTCACATGTATAGTACACGACTGTAATCTTGAGACTTGCAAGGAATGCAGGAAGTCCGAAGCGTTAAAGGCTGACGCTATCTTTCCTCCTTCCTCCATCACCCCACTTCCTCACCCCGCAAGTCTCAAGATTACAGTCTTACACTGTATGTTACAAGATGAAACAACCATGTAAAATATTTTATTTTAAGACTTCATGCTCCTTCCATTGTATAAACAGGCTTTTCTTGTGTTATGAGAACTCAGGAAACTGGTATTCATGCAACATTATGAATGATCTTAATAGAGGTCAGTAGATCAAAAAGCTACAGAAATCTGGCAAGGTTCAGTCTCACTGACCCTGGAAATTTAAGGATTTTTTAGTGCTGATGTAACCAACTTTGACATTACACTTTTGTTGCCATAATGTACAACTGCAGTGTCACCTGAAGTCAGGCCTAGGCCAGTTCCTTGTACCAAAGGAATGGCCCTTCCAGTATTCATCATAAACTCTGTGAACTTATACACTGATACAAAATACATTTACATTCTATTCAAGTGTCCCATAAAATGTTCTTGTGAATGTGGTCAACAGACTATTCTAAGATTTGCCCACATACCAGTGGTTCCCAGTGTATTCTTAGCCAAAACCCAAAATCATCTACCAGCCTTAGACTTGACCTTTTGGACACCTTTCAGCATTAAGTAGGAATTCTCGTTTACTCTTTGTAAACCTTCTGCTTTGTTTTCTTCATTTATTTAACAGCACTCCCTCACTGTATACAAGAAGTTATATGGGAAGATGACAGTGAATTATGAATTGGGAAAGCAGTGGCAGGAATCAGTTGAGTTTATTTAACCTAATCTAAATGCTCAAAGAAGCCTCCTAGATGGTAATTCCTGTGTATCTGTAATATGGCTTATGCCTCCAGGTATGGTCTGTGACCTAATGAAGGTGAAGGTAGATACCTAAATGTTTATGATAGCACTCAGTGGGGGCTCTTACCACCAGGATGACAGTGAAGATGACCATGACAGAAGAGGTTAGTATGGGTTCTGAAGTAAACTTGGGGGGGCCTGGTTTTCCTCATATATATGAAGTTGGCATTTTGTTAATGCCGAGAGAAGGGAAAGGCATGCAGTCAGTTATTTGTAGCCTTAGCATTCAAGTTTTCTTCCCATCTCATGGTGATGTCAGTTGAAGAGTTCACTAGGGACCTACACATGTTGATATACTGGATGCAAAACACATTCAAGCCAGAGGTACATCATAGTAACAGAGGAAGGGGAAGATGGAAAGGAAAATTGGGGAGCAAGATGCCATATGCACTGTTGTTTGGTGGTCTTCTCCTCCCTCCACATACTTTGGCTGGCTGTCCACCAATGTGTCTATTTGTAATGGTCAACATAGCTCAGATATAGCTTGCTAGAAGTATATGTATGGTGATACATGTGTCAAAACATGGGTTTAATGATGAAATCTGTAATGTATGGAGGCACGTGTCAGCATAAAATCATTCATATCGTGTTGTGGTAAGACATGTTGCAGCATGCTGTCTCTGATGCAAAGAAGATGCAAGTGAAACATATCCTGACATGAATATGATCATTACACAATTTGTCTTACATTTTGCCAGTCTGTAGTCAGTCAGCATAATGGATAGAATCAGTTAACATGATTTCTGGGAAGAGTATTTTAACATACCTTTTTACAACTTGTTTCTGGAAAACAAAATGTAATAGTATTCAAATAAACCATGTCAGAATTTATGCATATTCTCAACTTGTGGCCAAGTGCAGAGAACAATTTCCTGGCACTAACAAAAGATTTTGTGAGAAGAGAATACACAATTTCATATGAAATCAATACATGGAAGCTGCATTGTGATTCCTGTACTACCACACATTCCATATGTAGGCCCCTTAATTTCATGACACTTCAATACATCATACAATTTTGGAGTAGGTGGGGAAGGGAGCATTTATTTCATAAATCAGCTCTAATTTCAAATTTATATTTAATGACTCTTAGCTATATGAACTGATCTCAAAATATCTATAAAGATAATTTACAAATTTTAAAATTATGCTTTAAAATGATCACAAAATTTCCATATAGGTATGCATTTGCTGCCTAATAAATAAGCTGCTATAACTTTCATCCTCTGTCATTTCACAGCTGTCAAAGTAGTTTATGTTATCCAAAAAGGAGGGGAACCTGTCTGCCAATGGGTTAATATGAAATACATAAAAATGACTATTATTTTGTGAAATCGTGTGGGAAGTCTGAATAAGGCTGGGAGACAGTTTAGGAACAATAACAGCAGGTACCTGAAGGAACTGAAAACAATAAAAAAAACTAGGCTGGGAATACAAAAATGGAGTGCTAATTCCTACTGTGAACCCCAACAACTATTGTCTGGATTGTAACTCAGAGTGGGAACAAATGCTGGTTATAGGCCTTCAGCTGCTTCATGTCATGTAACTACAGAATCCTAACTTAAAGACAAGCCTCTTCATCTTAAAAACTGTAACATTGAGCACATAAAACTGACTACAAATCACCATTTATAAAACAAATTTCTCATAAAAATGACAAGCAATGAAATTAAGTAACATGACTTATTGTTCCGTATTTGTTACTTAAATCAATACAAGTAAACCACCAAACACATACATTACATCCAACCATGACCTTCATTCACTCTATCATCACGTGTCATATGTATATCACATGTTTATTCCTAATAGTACAGAAGCAGTCAAGTTTTCTACAATATATAGACTTATTATAACTATAAACAAGTAATTGAATATATTATCAGATTTGTAAATAAAATTATAACATAATAATAAGACTATTAACTTTTTATACAAATCTCTTAATGACCCCAGGTAGAAATTACATACTCATATCTCACAACAGTTAATTGCACCATATTTCTTGCATAATTTATGTGTCTGCTAGCTGCTGCTATGGAGATTTTAATAACTGGATAACTCAGCACAAACATTGAATATAAATTATGTTGGTTAGTTCATAGGTTACTTAATGATGCTGTATCGACTGCAGAGAGGCTATACAGTATCAGATAAGGCAAGATAATAATTATGTGTAGTCAAATGTAAAAGATATGGGCAGCAGTAACCATGGCCTTATTCATGGTATTATCCCTTAGTTTAAACTGAAAGACTGAAAAAAATACCAATTTTTTTCAAATAGCTAGTATGACAACTAAGGTTTGAACCAAGTACTTAAAGAATACTGAGGAATACAGTAAAAATTGATAAATTATTGAGGACTTGCATATTTATACTGGTAAATGGCTTGGCCATGGGAAACAAATTAAGGTAGACACCCAAAATGGTGGTAGAATTGGAATCAGAAGTGGAGCCCCAACATACCTCCTGAAGATGACTGTCTTCTGGGATGTTGCACCATGTATTGTTAGAAACTGGCTTACATTTCAGACGTGCTTACTGCCTCCATCATCACCCTGATTATGGTGGCAGTAAGCATCTCCAAAACATCAGTCAACTTCTACCAGACTACACAGTGCAACATCTCAGAACCATCTTCATAAAAATCACCATAATAACCTGAAATGTAAGACACCACCTGATTCATCATAATTTTCTATCCTTATCTTATTCATAACCTTAACAGCTGATGTAGCATTGCTAAATAAATAAGTAATCATGTACCACCTTCTAAGTATGCAAAATTTGTGTAAGTAAATACTATAATTGAAAGAAAACAAGAAAATGGAACCATGCTACTCTATAATTAGGTAAATAAATGATGTAAATAAAGTCAAACACCCAATCCAAAAATGACTTGAAGCGTGATTTAACAATTTCAAAAATAACTATCAGTGGACTTTAATTGTATGTATGAAGTACTTTTCCTATTAAACTGTATGTTCCAAATTTATTTAGCAATTTATGACCTCCCTCCCACCTACAACACAACATTCACAGTCCCCTGGGGGCTCATGGTTCTCAGGAGAAATTAAAGTACTGGAACTGAATAAAACCTACTACTAATGTTCAAGATGCAAATCAAACCTTCTCTTTGTGTGAGCAATGGAAACTGCAAAATGGAGCATTCTCTTGTCTAAAACGCAATTGCTTAAAAGCAGCAAGGCAGTCCCTTGGGTAATGACTATAACAAAATGCCAGTTAATATTAAGCACAAGTTTAGGATCCAATGGAAGATTAACATCTTTCACATCCTCATTTAGCGCTATTTCTTTCTACAGAACTACTAATGTTCAAAAAATGTTTCTCCTAGAAACACAACTTGCATGGGCAAAATAATGAGACTATTTGAACCCCATTACACATTCAACAGATGATGTAGTCCTTTGGGACAATCAGTTATCTTCAGTATGGAGTGAATTTCCAGCAGTTCACAGATCATCTTTGTCTCCATCATCATGAATGGATTAGAAGAGTGATGCAGCTGCTTTTTTGTATACATACATACTGATGATGGAGCCACGGACAGTCTCCAAGACACCAGTAATTGCTGTCTACTGACAAGGCTGACTACTCAAGAAGACTTCACTGCAATGAGTCAATGAAAGATTTAAATCTCAAATTTGACATGTAAATATTATATTCTACACATGAATGTCCTTCTAATTAATGTTTAAAGTTCATCAAGATAAAATATAGATATAACATTCCACTGGAATTGGAGAGATAAGTCCGAGTAATTGCATCTTTGACCTCAATATTTCAGCACTACACATTTACTAATGATAACTAGAGGTGGGAGAAGTGGCTTCATCAACAAATACTTCCCCTTCCAAACAGTAAAATAAGAAACACAGAAAGGAGCAAGCATGTTAACCTCATATTATGTGTGTAATGTATAGCTGTTTTGATCTTCAGCGATATAAGACTGCTCAAAATGGGACAGAAACACACTTATTTCCTTTCTAGCCTACTTTCCTTACTTTATGCCTGTATATATGTCTGTGTATCCCTAATAACTCTTCAATCAACTGATGGATTTTAATTAATTAACATCATGCCACTAGAGGCCACCTCACATTTGTATTTTTTATCTTCTAATATAAACAACACCAACATAACAGCCACACGATATTATTAGGTGGGAGCAAAATATCACTTAATGAGGGTTCTTGAAAAACTATGTATTAACAGGTATTAAAGATACCCAATTAGCCACAGTTGTCAGACATGTGAAACTCTGTGTTAAGATAAATAATACGCATACTTACAAATGACGTATGTAATACTTGTTTTAATGTTAACAATTTAAACATAATAACTGAAAAACTCTAAGGTTATATCTGGGCAAATTTAGGACAATTATGGGCAGAAATTGATTATTAAATTGAAAAATTACATTAGTTAATAGTTAAAGAAAGCCTCAGCACCTTAACTGAAACACACGAAGGAAAGCAGGCATCATAAGTTAGTTGTAGGATTTCTTGTATTAATGGGCTGTTCTGAAAATGAGCCTATTTAATACTGATCCACACCAAACAATTCTGACTGCCAATTTACAAGAAACCAAAGTAAGCACAAACAAACACCAACTGAAATATATGGATTTCTCAAAACCCAAACCCAAAATTATATTTTTAGACAGTACTAAATGCTGTGGCTACCACTTAAAAATTTGATTTCTTGCTTTATTTTCTGCCACTTTACATTTTTACACACAATGGGTTGACATAAAAAGGGTTAACGGCCAAAACCTACTTCGAAGAACATGTCATTCAACATCTGCTTTAAAAATATTTCCTACATATTTGCAGTAAGTCAGTATATAAATGTTTTCTTTGTTATGACCTCATATTGTGCAGACATGGAATGGAACACTGATGTCCCTTTTCATGCAATTCTGTTTCTGATACTGTCAGATAATTTGTGTAAGACAGACCGATGTTGGGCCATGCTCATCCTTTGTGAAATAAGACAGTTTTGCCTTTAGTCACTCTGTCAGATCAAGTGTGCACACCCTGAGATAAAAAAATTCAACACATGTGATAGAAAAAAATGGTAACATGCATCATGTTGACAGAGTACAAAATAGCCCAAAGCACCATGCTATGACGACAGGAAATATGGAAGCAAGGCCCCATGCATTCTAGACGTGGCATTAGGTGGAGGGGGGGTGACCAGCTTCTTGTTTTGGCAATGTTATTTCTGAGGAAATAGTCCCCATTGGGTAGAGACTGGGTGGGTTACACAGCCTACACTAAAGAAACAAATCCCATCATCTATATCAGGATCTGCATCCTAGTTAGCCAAGATGGCTGTCTTCTGGGTTGTAGTGCCATGTACACTACAACCTAGAAGACAGCCATCTTCATACTCACAAGTATGATAATCTCAAATCCTACCAAATCAACTAAACCACAGCTGTCAAGGCTCCATAAAATAAACTGATGTAAATTTAAAATTCCTCTATTGGCAAAAGTATGAAACATAAGACACATGTGACACGGTCAGGCATAATGGACAAAAAAGTATCTGCAATATTTAAGGCAAAGTTGAAACTTGTCTGAGAATGAAATTGAGGGATCACACATCCCAACAACATCCTTTGTTTCTGATTTATAGCAAGACATTCTGATGCAACTATCTGCATTTTACATAATACACATGAAATCTTTCTAAGTTTTGAAAATGAAAAAACAGGGAAAAAAGTTCACCCATTATTCATAAGTCTATATACCTCTACTCTTTCATCCTTTCTGTCACTAATGACAGGGAAACAATTTCTAAAATCAGCATGACTGGATTTTCAAGCTCCTCACAGAACTTGTGTAAACCTCACCCTAAAGTTCAGTTGTCATATGTGAGGTGAGTGCTTGAACTCTTTTTGCATTACAACTCTTGCATAACACATGGTCATCTAGCGGATAACATCCACGACCCTCTGCTTCTGATGATAATACTAGACCACAATCCTGTAAAGAAAAGATTGGACAGTGAATATGAAGTCAAACCATTTCCACTAGTTATTTTTGATTGACAACGTATTATACACAAACTAATTAACAAACTAACTACCAAACCCACTGGTAATATAGAACCTGGGAGTTCAATATCACAAACACCAAAGATATCATTGGACAAATCATCAGCAAGGTCCACCCAGTGCTATCGTCAGAGCCTACCAAAAACCAATATCAATGTTATCCTCCCATCTCCATCCTGATGTTCAAAGTGGCTACATTCCCAGCACTTTTCCTATCAAACTTCCTTACAAATATGTCTTCTCATTCAAGCTAAATGTCCAGCACATCACAGCTTCCTCCATTTAAATACCACAACTGCACTAGTATACCTATACAGTGAAACCTCGATGCATCGTTTTTGGCGGGGGTGGGAAATAAAAACGATGAATACGGGAAAACGATAGTTGCGGGAAAGTATTAAAAATTTAAAAAACCTGAATTTTTCTCTTTCAAAGTTACTTCTTTTTACCAAAAAAGTCTTTAATGGACAACTGGTTTGTCGAAACTTTACGTTTTAGGCCAAACAGAGCCCTTTCCACTTAAAAAATGTTTTCCTCGTCATGTTCACTAATATTATGCGCATAAAAGAACGACTTCACTTTTGCCACTGCAGCATGTGCTTCGTCAAAACTCTGGCACAGCTTCGGGCTCGCATTCATCATCTTCCTCTTCCTCACCACTCCCACCCCTCGCGAACAATAACAGAAAGAATGGAAATACTATTACTGCCGAACTCAACGAAACGTAGCTGTAGAAGACACTGAACCACTGGAAACGAGAAGAATGAAAAGTGTCACCCGCCTTTCCTTTGTACTTGTAATAAAAGCATTTGTGAAGAAATTCACACTGCACATGCCATCTGGTATCGCTGGAATGAAATATGAGTGCACCCTAATTAAACTCATAAAATTTCTGACAATGAGCACCGCCATTCACTCCAACTATCACCCCTGCACCGCTGACCCCTCATTCCAAAAGAATATGTGCTGGTTGGGCAACATAACAGGTTACCACTACTGTGTATTCCAAAAACATTGTGCGTCTTTTGGTATTAATTTATCTCAAAACCCAGCATTTTGAATTCTAAAAACATCGCATAAATTTCGTTATAATTTTTCAGAAACGATCATTGCAAGAAAATTGTGGGCCAGGACTAAGATTTTTGAACGATTGATGCGATAAAACGATAGTTCAAGGAACGATAGAAGCGGGAAAATGTAACATTATTTTATATGGGATGTATCAGGGACCGAACAAAACAGACGATGCATCCGGAAAAACGATAGTTCGGGGAACGATGGATAGAGGTTTCACTGTATAAACCAAAAAGTGCCTCATTAAGTAATATCCTAATATGCCCACATTCCAAAACTTAAGCATTTGGATATGTTTAGATCCACACACTATGGTTGTAGCCAAGGCTTACTCTTCTCGAGTTTTCCTCCACGCCTGAAATAATTGTTATATCACTATGTCACAGTAAAGTTGCAAAATATCAGCCAGTCAAATGAGTTATATTTTGATCTGGTGTATGATAACAATTGAAGATTGCAGTCTTCAATCCCACCACTGTGAAAACGTAAAATCCTACATTATAACAATTCTTTATAGTGTGGATGCTTTGTATTTACTTTACCACTGGATTAAGAATGTGAAGAAGAATGCTGAAGATGGATTTTTCAGACAAAAGCACTAATTCTTTCCAACTTTTAAATTATTTGTCAAACTGTAATTCATCATAATTCAGTTTTATGGTATAACAACAAATGTTCCAAAAATTCACATAAGCATACTCAAAAGGGTGCCACATCTGAATGTGTTTTATTAATTTTTTAAGTTTATTCAGCTGTATTTTCTAGCCTACAGGAATGGGTCCAGCACTATAAGTGTTAAGTTAAAAGAAATACTTTTCCATCAATTAAATTATGAACTGTTACACAAGGTACAGTGATATCTTTAAACATATCTACAGATGATGATGTATGGAAGTTGTTATTTTGTTGAGAACGACATGCAGGGTAGCAAAGCAAATATTTCAAGTTAAGTCTGATAACTTCCAGGTATTGTAAATCATATGCAAGTAAAAATGTTTGCATAAAGACACATCACAAATACATATATTAATTAATTTAAGTTCTGCTGGCATATACCTCCACATATTGGGATATTTGAAGAAAAGAAGATCCTGTAAACTATTTCTGGACCTTCATGT